TTAGGCAACCTAAGGCCTGGGGACCTGATGTGGCCCAATCGCCTTCTCAATCCAGCCCGTGGATGGTCCCAGAATCAGCATGTTTTTACATGAGTAGAATGTGTCCTTTTATTTAAAATGCATCTCTGGGTTATTTGTGGGGCCTGCCTGGTGTTTTTACATGAGAAGAACGTGTGCTTTTATTTAAAAATGCATCTCTGGGTTATTTGTGGGGCATAGGAATTTGTTCATTTATTTATTTTTCAAAATATAGTCTGAGGGACGGTGGACCAGCCCACAGCTGAAGAAGGTTGCTGACCCCTGGGTAAGACCATCTTCAAGTTCCATATATGCATGAAGATACAGAGCTGGGAATTTTGAGCAGTGCACAATAATTTTGAGCAGTGCACAATAATTTTGAGCAGTGCACAATAATTTTGAGCAGTGCACTATCTGCAAGGAAGTTTTCCAGAGTATATACTTTCTACTCAGGAAGCATGTGAAAACTGAACGGTTTAGGACAGTGTTCACTTTTAATTTGTGACATATGATTTAAAGGCTTGACAGTAGCTACCAAGGGATAAATGGAGATGTATTGTTTGGTTGGGATAATTTTTGTGTTGGATATATTTTTGAAGTTGCAATAAACTTTGAACTTCCTTTTAAGGATGGAAAATCAGACTATGGCACAGTAAATGAAATAAGAGTAAGCCCATGAGCATTTCTAAGACAAATGTGAAAAACGCAAGAGAATATTTTTTCAATATGCTGTTCTTGTCCTGTTCGAAAAAGAGGTGTTTTTTTTTTGTTGTTTCTTTTTGCATTGCATTATTTATTTTGATTCACACTAAGGATGTTTTCAAGATGACTGGAGTTTCTGTGTCAGGGACAAAACTTCTGCAAATTATGAAACTGTACTTTCGTAGCTTGGTAAAATAGTGAAGGACACACAAATTGCACATACTGCATAACCATCTGGGTGACTTTCAAAAAATACCATGACAAATAACAGGGAGAAATTCCCTGAGTCATGAAAACAAGCTGACTAAATCTTAAAACACATTTCTGGAGTGAAAAATGACTCAATTTGTGTATTGGATTGTTTACTGATGATGATAAAAGTCTGAGGGATCAATCCACCAAGCTGTCTGCTGTGCAAATTCCATTCATTTTAATGGGCTTCCCAGTCTGAGATGCACTGAGAACTTTTTGATGATACAGCCACTCTTCAACTGTTGAAGAATTATGGTTCCTGGTTTGTTAGTTATAAAGATGTTTCTGCATCTTTCAAGAATTACTTTTTAAACTCAGATTGGGTTTTTCTACATTGTTGCTTTCCCTTTTATTTCTAGGATCACATTCTACTTATGAAACCTCAGTGCAGTTAGAAGATTCAGGACAGACAAACGAAAGTGCTACGTCATGTTAGAATTCCTGCTCCATGATTGCAGTCATGGGATTTTTGTCTATTCCATGACGGTATATGTTTTGACTCCACAGAGTGGGAAGTGACGGAGACAGGATGTTTGTGTTACTGCGTTCCGTTAAGTGTTAGAATTTAATCAATGCTTCAAGAGTTAAACTAGAAGTCAAACTTGTAATAGCTGGAGATTGCTCGAGAGGTGAACCATTAGCAGGGAATAATAAACACAGGGAGAATGGCCATCAGCACAACAGAGACTCTCTGCCAGCCAGCAGATGGATGAAGCCCCACCCAGAGCTCTGAGATAGTAAGAAATGCCAGAATTTTTGTTAGGGGGAAGTTTCAGATAGCTGTGGCACGATCTAGTGAAAAAGGTGTCAGTCTGTTAAATGCAGCAGTTGCAGGGGGTGGACCATAATGTGGGCTGCCTGTTCGAATCAGAGACTGCAGCAGTGGGAGAAACGGGACTCTCTTGGGAGTGTAATTATTTTAAACCCTCCACTGTAAGCTCGTATATATGTGAAAATAAACCATGTATCACAAAGATACCACCGTCTTTCCAAAGGAAACACAAACTCTGACTAAGTGCTTGGACCCATAGATTCTCATATCACTCAGGGGTTGGGGTGGCGTGTAATAGTACTATCATTATTGTCCTTGAGAATAAATCCACTGCTCAAAGTGGAGTAGGATTGTGTGAACTGTCATCCCACTTCAGAAGATATGACTGAGTCTGGCACAATTTGGAATGAAACCATCCTACTTCTACTCCCCTCCCAGTGTAAGCACTGGATAAGTCCCCAGGGAAAGAACCAATTGGAGATGGAGAGGAATAGGAGATGACTGCATAGCTTCTCCAGCCAGTGCCAAGGACAAATGTTTTGTTCATCCAACAGGCTGGCACTGTTGACACAGTGCTTAATGTAACATATTTCAGAATCCTCTTCAGACTGAAAGCAGCAATACAAATGCATCTTCTAGGTAGATATCTGGCCAACATTTTAATTAACTTCCCCTTCCAGGCAGGCGATATTAGCTCTATCTTCTAGAATGAGCAGTTAAGAAAGTAAAATACTTTGCTTTTCCAGCCTCCAAAGTAGCGCCTGGATGGGTTGCCAAAGACTTAGCTCTTCTTGCCATAATTGCACAAGCGAAACACATAGGGTACAATGCAGAGAAAATACGCGCCTTATTCCTGTTAATACTGATTGATTTAGCCTAACTATGTTCTAAAGTCCTATTGATTTCAACTAGTCCTGCAATTTTAGACACACTTACTTGGAATTAATGTATTTTAAATTGGTGAGGTCCGTATAGTTAAAGCTATGGTTTTCCCAGTAATGATGTATGGAAGTGAGAGCTGGACCATAAAGAAGGCTGATCTCCGAAGAATTTATGCTTTTGAATTATGGTGCTGGAGGAGACTCTTGAGAGTCCCATGGACTGCAAGAAGATCAAACCTCGCCCTGAGTGCTCACTGGAAGGACAGATCATGAAGATGAGGCTCCAATACTGAGGCCACCTCATGAGAAGAGAAGGCTCCCTGGAAAAGACCCTGATGTTGGAAAAGATTGAGGGCACAAGGAGAAGGGGACAACAGAGGACGAGATGGTTGGATAGTGTCTTCGAAGCTACAAACATGAGTCTGACCAAACTGCGGGAGGCAGTGGAAGACAGGAGTGCCTGGAGTGCTCTGGTCCATGGGGTCATGAAGAGTCGGACACGACTAAACGACTAAACAACAACAAATTGGTGAGACTTACTTCTAAGTAATCCTGTGTAAGATTGGGCCTCAAATATCACTTCTCATAATATGGTCACTGTATGGTGACTCTTGAAATTTCTTAATACAGCAGCTATTCACAGCAAGCTTTTCATGTATCCTGGACCCATCTCTATAATGTGATTCATTTCTATGCCACTGACACCACCAAACATTGTTAGCAATGCCTAATGGAGGCTAACTTTGTGGTGAAAGCTGATCTGTGCATGCTGGTAGAACCAAAGGGGCTACTGTGGGAAACAGCCACCAAATAGAAACACTTCCACCTGCAATATTATGGGAACCTGCTTTGCTCTGGTTTGCACCACGGAACTAACTTTTTCATACTTTTCAAAATGGTTGTGTTTAAGTGGCTAGAACTGATGGAAATCAGCCAAATGTTCTGGACTGGTGCATGCATTACCGTTGCCAAATGTTGGGATCAGTGCTCTGACCTCTAATTTATTTTAGGCAAATTAATTTGCTTGATGGAATAAAACGTCACTGCAATCATTTCTTTTTGGCAGCAACGGCATCATACAACCATACTTTGTAGGGAACAGATGCATATTTGGTGGGATTGCTAAGTTGTCTGAAATGCCCATGTGCATTTGCCCTTGCTGTTGTGCTGCTAGATCCGAATAATGACAGCAGGCTGACATACATCAGTGCTGGAGAACCTGGTGCCCTTCAACTCACATCATTCTTGACCATTGGCCATGTGGGCTGAGGCTGGTGGGAGCTGGATTCAGACAACATCAGGAACCAACAACGTCCCCATTCCTGTTAAACATGGTTCTCTTTCCCTTCCCTATTTCATCATCACAGCAGCTATGTGAGGCAGGTAAGGCTGAGAGACAGTGACTGGCCCAAAGGCACACAGTTAACTTGACACCTTAGTGGGAATTTTAACTCGGGTCTCCTCGGTTCTAGTCTGAAACTCTTACCACTACTGTATATCATTGTATTTATTTTGTGAGTACCATTAATTCAAGAAGGATGTTGACAAATTGGGAAAGCTGCAGGAAAGGGAGAGCAGTGCCTACATTAATCACTGGAAGAAAGCACAAGAAGTACAGTAATAAAAAGAAAAGAAAACACTGTGAGACAAATTTAATACAGATCAAGTCGTTCAGACATTATAAAAGTTGTGTGCCGCAACAGCCGGTAATCTAGTCAAGGGAAGCTATCAGGTAGTGATCACTTTGTAACTAGGTTAGTTTCAGCGAAAATGATGGTGCAAAGAGGCAGCGACTGATCCAAAGTCAGCCAATGAGCTTTGTAGCTGAATGGAATCCCACTTGCTTAAGATATGTAGAGCATGTTATAAGAATAGTCTTCTGATTTATGGCTGGTTGACCCGTGGGAACCCCTCTCCCCCCACCCCAAACCCTTGGTCAATGAAAGTTTTGTTTTTACCAAGGTTGTTGTTGTTTTTTAATGCAAATAAAAAAGTAATGCGTCAGGTATTTCTGCCTGTGAATTATTATTTTTAACCCTCTCAATACATCACACTGAAGTTGCTAAACAATTCCCGCTGAAAATAAGGCTAATTGAATGTTTAGGGGCTTGCTTCCTCAGTAAGCCTGACTGCTAAAGCATGAACACACCCACAACACAAACTTTTCAACAAATTGCACCACCAACAGCGCGATCCCTTGCACGTCAACCCCATGGAGTTCAACAGAGCCTACCTAAAAAACAGAAATACTGTACACATTCCTAAAAGAGCAACGGCCGGCAACGCCCTCTCTCGGCGGCAACCTCCCTTCCTAGGCGGCTGAAGCTCCGCTTGCGGCTCCCCATCGACGTCACCAGCCCGCATGGGCATGACGTCATGGTGCAACGCCATGATGTCATGGTGCAGAGCCCGGGCCGCTCAGCAACTTGCAGAGGGGGCGCTGATGCTGGAAACGGACCTCCTTCGTCGTGGTGGTCCCCTCCCGTCCACCTCCGGGGGGCAGAGCCAGGCAGGAGCAACAACCGCTCAGATTTGGACTGCGGGGCTTTTGGTGCCAGAGGGCGCTGAGCTCTCAGTTGCAGCAGCAGCAGCAACTGGGGGAGGAGCTCCGTAGTTCAGGGCGGATCCCGCGGAGAGATCAGCCGCCGGTTTCAGGAACGCGGAGAAGGTGCCGGGTCGGCGAGGCGCTGGACGTCCTCCTCGGGGTTGGCACCACCACCAGCACCGCCGCCCGGACATGAGGATGACGGTCGCTGCGGCGGGGGACGGGGGCTCGCCGAATCCAGGCCCCGCGGCGGTGTCGCTGGGTCTCAGTGTGGCCGTGGTCTCCAGCCTGGTGAATGGATCCACGTTTGTGCTGCAAAAGAAAGGGATCGTGCGCGCTAGAGGACGAGGTAGGGGGCGGGCATTTTTTTTTGGGGGGGGGGGACACACCTCCTACGGGCCTTTTCGCCCCGATCCCTCTTCCTGGACCACGGTTGTGGGTCGGTTATTATTTGCACCCAGGTCCACCTCCTCCCCTCCAGTGTGGAGGTGGGGGGGGGCGCACCCCATGCTTCAAAACACATCCTCGCCAGCCCCTGTGTTCCTGCCTAGCACCTCAATGCTGTTCAGGGGTTCCATGATTTCCCTGCTATCCGATCCTATCTCGTCTAACAGGCATCATGTTCATTAATTCCTATGCTCCATCACACCTAGGAGTTGGGTGTTGGAGGGAGGGGGGTGCGGCTGTGTGTGGGCATGAATGTGACGGGGGGGGGGAGAGAAATCTCTGTCCAATGCAGTAGCACTGCTCCTTGTCTGCACTTGAAGAAGAGCATCTTTGGAGCCTGTGGGCAGGTTCATGGCCGCTGCAGGCAGTGCCTGAATTTAACCCCGTCGGCTGCCCAGCCCCTCCAGCTACAGTCTTTGCAACTCCTCCCCGTGGGCTGGGGCGACCCTTTGAGTCCAAATTAGGCTTCTCTTCCAAAAGGAAACTGCTGTGTTGTCAGTGTCGCCGTTTGAAAGTTTTATTTTTGTTTTTTTAAAACTCTGTGAGTTATGGATCCAGGGGATTTACTCCACAGAGGAGTTTAAAAGCTTTATCCTCCAGAAAATGACAATGTTTAGTAAAGAAGCTAAATGTCAGGAGCAGTGGGGAGGAAGTTGTAACCCTGAGGTCTTGCAACTTGCTTAGGCATTAAGTGTTTATGATTTCCTATTTTTTTCATATTTTATGAAGTGGGGGAGGACTGATCTCCCCCACTGGACTTGCAAACAATTTGAATGATCATGAACGCAATGTATGAACGCTGAAGAAAATCCACAGGTGTCTCAGGGGTTGGTATTCAGAGAAGAACTTTTAGAATTTCCAGTGGGATCTCTCTCTCTCTCTCTCTCTCTCTCTCACACACACACACACACACACACTCATTTTCTCTCACACACAACCCCCCCCAGGCCCGTATAGTGTATTTAAAACTGCTTTTGAACATCCCTTCCATTTTAAGAGTGTTTTTCCATGTGGCATGTACAGGCTGCCATAGTTTGAAAAACGGGCACACACCCCCCTCCGTGGGAGAATGTAACTAGTTGCTTCATTTGTTGGATTGTTGCCGTGATAATTAGTTCTCCTACAAGTATAATGAGCATAAAACTCCTCAGACCAGACTTGAAGAGCACAGCTCTTTGCAATTAGCATGCAATTTTTTGTGTAACTTAGATTCAGTCATCCAGTGGTTGCTGTATTTTCTCGTGGGAGCACCTGAGGTGAGCAGAAACAATATCCTCAAATCAGACAGAGGCAGGAGGATGATACTGGCACATGGCATTTCTAATATGTAAGCTGTTCCATTCCAGAAACTAGGCCTGAAAGGGCATTGTTGCCCTCAGTCTGCCCCCGGTCCTGTTACAAAACCATCCGATTCTGCTACCTAAACAAGACCTTGCTGTAAGACAACATAGGAAATTTCCCTGGTTTCCTGACTGGCGGCTGCTTGTCATCTGTTATATAAAGTTTATTTGGGTGTTTGTGATGAATAACTTAAGTGGAAGGGCAGAAAGAAGAATTACCAGGATGACTGGCAGCTCACAGAACATAGACAAATTAACTCACATGTTTCAAACTATCATGTATAATATGTCCAGTTTAAAAACGATATTGCTCTCTTTTTATGTTAATAGCATGTTAGCGACTGAAAGATTGGCAGGGAGTGGAATCTTACCTGAGTTCTTTATGTGATTAGACCTAAGGTGGCAAAAAGTACTAAAATTCACTTTGTTTCATTTCACTGACTTAAGCAAATTAAACATTGGTGGGTGTCGGAGACCACATTAATAATATTATTTACCAGTAGATTGAACCAAAGTAGTGTATAGATCTACATGCACACATGGTTGCCAGAATTGGGGCATAGTGGGAGTTGATGTGAGGATGCCAAATGTATTGGACTTGTCCTGCCTCAGGAAGGTGATTTTCCCAAGTGAGAGTATGCACAGAATTGCAGCCAAGCGGCCCAAATATCATGTGGAACTAAATGGACTTAAGTCTACTAGTTTGGGGTTGTTGTTTTTTGGGGATGGGTTTAGACATGTTCAACTCTGCGTAGGTTAACTCTGCGTCTGTTAAGTTGATAAATCAGAGGTGAGGAATCTGTTAGCCTCCAGATACAGTATTGCTGGACTCAAACTCCCATTGGCTATAGCCGGCATGGTCAGTGTTCAGAAGTTTGTAGGCATACCCAGAGGGCCACAGTTTTGCCCATCCTTGTTACAAACAGACCACAGCATAATAATTGTAGGTTGCTTTGCACTACCCCTTCTTTTAACAACTGGGGTGTAGGAGGTTTTTTTAGTACTTGAGTAGCTAGAATTTCCTCCCAAAATATTGGGTGTGCCTCATAAAACTATTTCTGATCACTGCTTTAAGAACATATTGTTCCTGATAATGTTAAGCTCAGGGTGTCCTGAAATATAGCAGATTACTTGAACTGCAGCACTATCAGCTGACAGTATGATATAACATGTCTAGTTTTCATTTCCTGCAATCCTTAACTTGTGTTATTAGACTCTCTTGTAAATGTAGTTGAAACGAGAATCAGATGAAAGGTCTGGTTTTTCTGAAGATCCAGTTGGTAGCTCCTGCCACTCTTCTGAATGAGGGGATCCTAAAATAAGCACATGACCTGTTCAGGTGTTTGTCTGGATTTTGTTTTTAGAATTGGACACTGATGTAATAGGGCCAGCTTTTCCATGAAGAGATAGCCTTTCATTTTGGTGTGGTTTTCCACTTTGAATGTTGTATAATGTAATGTACCCCCCCACATCCTTGGCTCAAATGCTGCTCAAAGACTGCTGGGAGAAAAGTTATGTTTCTACTTTCATGTTTACAGGAGGTCACTTCCTGCTCTATTCAAAACCTTAAAAACAAGTTTGCAGGTTCATATGTTTCATCTGAGGCTGGGACAAAACTTATCTATCCTATCCCCCTTCCCTCAAATACACCCTATTCTTAAACTGCCTTTAAATAAAAGAGGAAACCATCCTTTGTGATGTATGTTGACATTGGCACAAAAAGGCTATTTTCCGAAATCTCTTCCTTTGTTTTACAAAACGATGCAGAGTGAGCATACTTGTATTTAATAGTCACAACACTGAGAATGACACCAGAAGCTCAGGGTTGCTTTTTTCCCCCTACAAGTGACCAGGGCTGGGCTGCAATCCTATATCCATATACCTGGGAGTAACCCCCACTTACTGTAATAGGACTTACTTCTGAGTAGATGTGTGTAGGCTTGTTAGAATAATAATGTTTTGTATTTTTATACAGCAGGTTCTAGTAGGGCCAGTTATTTGATTTGACACAGGTCTGATGTGGAGAAGGGCAGCATTTTGTCATTTGTAGAGTGTACAGTGGTACCTCGGGTTACCTACGCTTCAGGTTACAGACTCCGCTAACCCAGAAATATTACCTCAGGTTAAGAACTTTGCTTCAGGATGAGAACAGAAATCGTGCTCCAGCGGGGGGGGGGGGCGGCAGCAGGAGGCCCAAATAGCTAAAGTGGTACCTCAGGTTAAGAACAGTTTCAGGTTAATAACAGACCTCCTGAACGAATTAAGTACTTAACCCGAGGTACCACTGTATACAGATAAGGTTTTTGCAGTATTGTTGACGTTCTGTTTTCTGATTCTTTTCTTCTCTAGGAACTTCATATCTAACAGACATAGTCTGGTGGTCAGGCACCATTGCAAGTAAGTATACTAACTAATAAATCCTATTCTTATGTGCTAGAGCAGGGGAAAGGTGTTGTGGTGGTAGTTAATTTGTTACCCACCCTTCAGCCTAAGGTCCCAGGAAAGGTTACAACAATTTAAAATACAACACTAAAAATAATTTTAAGAATAGACATCACATGTCTCAAAGGCTAAAGAAGCACATCTTTCAGCATTCTCTGAAAACAGTACAGTGGTACCCCGCAAGACGAACGCCTCGCGAGACGAAAAACTCGCAAAACGAAAGGTTTTTTCGTTTTCGAGTTGCCTCGCAAGACGAATTTCCCTATGGGCTTGCTTCGCAAAACGAAGCTTGCCCAGGGGACAGCGGGTCTTCTCTTTTGAAGCAAGGGGCGGCGGGGAGAAGCGATCTTCTCCCCGCAGCCCCAGGTCCGGGGACAGCGGGAAGCGCTTCCCGCTGCCCCCGGACCTCTTTTGAAGCAAGGGGCTGCGGGGAGATCGCTTCTCCCCACCTCCCCTTCCTTCAAAAGAGGTCCGGGGACAGCGGGAAGCGCTTCGCGCTGCCCCCGGACCTCTTTTGAAGCAAGGGTTTGCGGGGAAAAGCGATCTCCCCGCAGCCCCTTGCTTCAAAAGAGGTCCGGGGGCAGCGGGAAGCGCAGCGCTTCTTCCCCGCTGCCCCCGGACCTCTTTTGAAGCAAGGGGCTGCGGGGAGATCGCTTCTCCCCACCGCCCCTTGCTTCAAAAGAGGTCCGGGGACAGCGGGAAGCACTTCCCGCTGCCCCCGGACCTCTTTTGAAGCAAGGGGCTGTGGGGAGATCGCTTCTCCCGGTGCTCCGAAGCCGGGCGGGGGGGAGGGAACACCTGCCCCCACCGCCCGGCTTCGGAACGCTGCCCCGAAGCGGGGCGGGGGGGCGGGAACACCTGCCCCAGCCGCCCCGCTTCGGAACGCTGCTCCGAAGCAGGGCGGGGGGGCGGGAACACCTGCCCCAGCCGCCCCGCTTCGGAACGCTGCTCCGAAGCGGGGCGGGGGGGCGGGAACCTCTCACCCCGCCGCCGGGCATCGGAACGAGGTCCTGGACCTCTTCTGAAGGCAGGCGGGGGCAAAAGTCTTTGCTCCCCCCGCCTGCCTTCCCGGGACAGCGGAGACTTCTCCGCTGCCCCGGGCGATCTTAAAATGCTGGCGGGCGGGAGCGAAGCGTTCGCTGCCGACCCCCAGCATTTTAAAATCTCCTCGGGGCAGCGGAGACTTCGCTCCCGCCCGCCAGTATTTTAAAATCGCCCCGGGACAGCAGGGGCTTTTAAAATGCTGGCGGTCGGCAGCAAAGCCCTCCTGTCCCCGGAGCTTGCGGGGCGGGAGGTGGGAAGAAGGGCTTTTCTTCCCACCGCCAGCCTTCAGAACAGCCTTCTGAAGGCTGGCAGTGGGAAGAAAAGCCCTTGTCCCCCCCCCCAGCCTTCAGAAGAGGTCGGGGGACAGACTGTCCCCGGACCTGGTCTGAAGGCGGTTTCCCTAGGAACGCATTAATTGATTTTCAATGCATTCCTATGGGAAACCGTGCATCGCAAGACGAAAAAACCGCAAGACGAAGAGACTTGCGGAACGAATTAATTTCGTCTTGCGAGGCACCACTGTATAAGGATACCCCTCTGTGGGGAGCTAGTTCCACAGCATATGGGCTTCTACAAATTACCCCTTCTCCCAGCCCCACTCTGAGCTTCTGAGGGCAGGGGAACTACAAGAGGGTCCTCTCTGCTGATCTTAAGACCCAAGAGGGTCTGTAGGGAAGGAGGCGGTTTTTCAGATGTTTGGGGCCTGAGTCATTTCGGGCTTTAAACACTATCGTGAGCACCTTGAATTGGATCCAGAAATGGACCAGCAACCAGTGCTGGTGGAATACCATATCACCCTGTACATTCTTAGTCCAGTGTATCTGGAGAGTTCTGCTGTTATCTGCCATGCAGGTGCCTTATGTTGCATTCTGCTGGCATGGCAGACCTTCCACCGATTCCTGTGGTCCCTCTCTGCAGTGCTGAGAGTGTTCTGTAAAAGAGTGAACTTAACCTACTTGTATCTTGTCTTGTTTTAAAGGTGCTGTATTTGTGCTAAATACAAAAGCATGGAACTCATAGCTAGATTGGTGTTCTTTCCCCTCCTATTCTGTTACTATTTGCTCCTTACTTGAAGGTTTTGAATAACATGTCTTATAAATGGGCACTTTGATTAGCTTGTTGCACATTTTTGATTCTTTCTTTTTTAATGAAGCCTATTGCGTTACCCCACAGGGAGTCTTTTAAGCATCAAAGGTTTCGTATTTTTAAAAGCCTCTGCTGTTTGTAGCGTAACTGAAAAGGTTAACCCCTCTGACCTTTATTAGAATGCTCAAATTTTAATAATCTTCATCTTCTATATTAATAAGGTAATAATAATATTTTGCCAAATATAGAGCAGTTATCCAGACTGTTGAGGCCACTTCTGTGGTTGTAGAGATAAAAAAATCTGCTTAGTAGTGTCAGCAGAAAATCCTCAACAACTCAGTTTGAGGTAGCTGAAAGTGAATCGTGTCACACATGAGAAATTTATTTATTTACATATTCACTATGTTTAATATCTTGTCTTTCCTCCAGTCACCCCTAGGTGGCACACATGGTTCTCCACCTTCATTGTATTCTCACAAAGCACTGTGAAATAGGTTAGACTGAGAGATGGTGGCTGGCCCAAGGTCTGTAGAATGATGAGGTCAGGTAAGCAGAGACACAGGGACTGACCCAGGGTCACCCAGTGGGGATTTGAACCCTGGTCTCCTAGGTTCTAGTCCAACATCCTAACCACTACACCATACTGTCTCACAATTCATACCCTCTAGTTTAACATAACTGATTTCTCCACCAAGTTTGTCAGGGCAGACATGGCCAGGCAAAAACAAACAATCCAACAAACCAGAGGTTGGTGTGCTCAGATATCTGCTATAGGATTTCTGGTTAATTATTACTATTATCATTATTACATTAGGTGAAGAACAATACTGGCTCCTTCAATTGCAACACTACAGTGCTAGTAAATACAAAGTTCAGCAACAATAGTAAGCCTTGCTGTTAGAACTGATTCACACAAACCCCTTTCAGCTGCTTCCCTCCCCCCCCCCCCGAAAAATTGGTGCACCTGCTATTAAAGAAAGAAACCTCAGAGCATTTGTGTGAGTCAGCCTTTGGGCATGAGATATGAAGGAGAAGCAAGCCCTGAGAATTAAGGTGGGACGCTGATAACAGTTAGAAACACGAATACCTTATATAAGTGACATTCATAGTCAGTCAGGCTAGAAAATGATTGGCATAGTTGACTGCTACTGTTAGGATTAGATAATACGTTTTGAATTATTCCACCTCAGTGGTTTTCCATAGGGACACACCTTGCAGACTCATCACCAATTTTTTTTTCTTTAGAAGGTTTTGATTTTGCCATTGCCACTTTTTGGAAAGAGACTTGGCATTGCAGTTTCCAGCCCCTAGAGAGCATCAGCCAGCTTTTGTTGTCGGGAGACAACAAGACTGTCTACAAAGGGAATTCAAGGCTTCTTAGACATGAGTTGCCAGTAAGAGGGGAGATGTTGCACTCTCTTAGAAGGCTATCTCCCTTGATAACTATAGTCATATTCCTGCTTTCCAGACCTGTTTCCACTCCTGGTGGTGAGAGTGAGAGAGAAGAGGTTGAGAAGGAAGTCCCTTCTACAGAATGGTCTAGTACCACTCATTGTCCAGAATTGTTTATCTAACAGGCATTGTTTCTAAGATACCACTAAGCATTTGCATCTCCCTCCACCCCCACACCCCCACACTCTTACACTTCCAGCCCAGTCGCCTTCTAAATCCGGCCTGCGGATGATCCAGGAATCAGTGTGTTTTTACATGAGTAGAATGTGTCCTTTTATTTAAAATGCACCTCTGGGTTATTTGTGGGGCATAGGAATTTGTTCATTCCCCCCCCAAAAAAAAATAATCTGGCCCCCAACAAGGTCTGAGGGACAGTGGACCAGCCCCCTGCTGAAAAAGTTTGCTGACCCTATGGTGTTAGCTCCAGGGAAAGCCTGCAACCAGGGTGAAAACAGCTCACCAGACACATCAGTCAACCTACCAGGAGCTCAATTACCCTGTGTTTTTCTGACAACTCAAGACTGCAAAAACAGGGGAATGGGTTTTTTCCAGCATCTGGAAGTCCACAGATGTTTCATGACCGATGAACAGCTTTCGGCTTGCTCATCCACAAGTTGTGTAAGCCTACACCTTAGAAACACCACAGTGTGTCTAGGGACCTGCATGAAGTGTACACGTTGAACCTTACTTGGAGGCATCTGCTGCCACTGCCTCTTCCCTCAGGCAGATTTTCCAAGAGTCTATTTTATAATTTAAAAAAATGCATGGCGGCAAGAAATACATAAACAACCCCTAATCTCTAATGCTTCCTAAAACCCATTGCCTGAAGCTACCACCTCACCTTACTTCATTGCAATACCACACCTGTAAATCAGGCCTCAGCTTGTGAATATTTAATCCGGTCAATGGTCAATGAAGGTTCAGCAGACCTCATTTTTTTTAAAGTTCTGGTGATGTTTCAGAGATGTCAGAAGTGAGAGGATTTAGGTACAGAGAAATACCGGACTGCTCCCACTTTCATTCTCTTTCAGTCTGCTCCTGCAACCATTCTCTCTGTACCTAAAATCAACTTGACATAGAAAACACTAGGCCAACACTTCCCCCACCGACAGATCAGGGTGGAGTATATGAGTCTTTATTCATATGTACATAATAATATACATATAAGAGCTTAGTGGGAGACCAGACTGTCTGCAGGCATATCCTCACATATAAATATGAAATGTGGTTGATATGTTTTGCTGAGTACATGGGTTATGTTGCCGTTGTGATAAGACCCAGCCTCTCATGGAGATCTTCCTTTTGTGTCAAAGTGTGCCTTCCTCACCATGTCTCCCCTTCACTCTTTCATTACTGTGCGCTTCTGTGGGAACCTAGAACATGCCCATATGGTATGAGACAAAGATATGTTTTCTCTTTAGGCATGGGAAAAATGCTTGCACAAGAACGGACTAAGTAGTCTTGGTATGCAAGCTATGCAGATGTTGTGTCCTTTTCTGTAGCCTAAACATTGGAGTTATTATAGTAGATTCCTAGCATCCTAACATCTGGTTATTTTCTTGGCATTCTTTTTGTCTACCTGTTTGCATTCTTCTGTTTCTCCTGTATATACACTTGCCTTAATTAAGAACATGCCCCAGTTTTGCCTCATGTTTCAAATGTCCTAGCCTAAGCCCACGTACGGAAGCGCCTTAACATTTAGCTGTGTGCTTCTGAAAGTTGAGTTTTTTTGATGGGGGAATTGGCCCCAGTGCATCCTTAACTTCCCTACGGCTAAATTATAGTAAGGTAGTAATTATTATTATTATTATTATTATTATTATTATTATTATTATTTACTTATACCCCACCTATCTGACTGGGTTTCCCCAGCCACTCTGGGCAGCTTCCAACAAGAGATTTAAAATACATTAAAACATCAGTCATAAAAAAAAACTGCCTTCAGAATAGTTCCTTAATATAAAATGTAGCTAGCATGTTCATGTTCCTGTGCTTGTTAATTAAAAGTCCTCCCATACTGGATCTGAATTTCTGAAGCATGATTGGGCTGTGATTATTTTTGCCAACTGGTAGTTATTCTTATTGCAAATGTATGTGTTTCTTTGTTTCAATTATATCTCACCATTCCTCCAAAGAAAGGCAGAATACATTTCAGGTTGGAGAGGCTGAAAGAGATTGATTGGTCTGAGGGCATCCAGTGAGTTTTCATTGCTTTGTGATGATAGAGACATGGGTTTTCCTAGTCTGATGCTCTAAGGCAGCCCTGTTCAGGGAAGTTTTTAAACACACAATGTTTTATTGTGTTTTTAATATTTTGTTGGGAGATGCCCAGAGTGGCTAGAGCAACCTAGTCAGATGGGCAGCATATTATTATTATTATTATCATTATCATTATTAGCAGCTACGCCATACTAAGTTTCAGAATGTTAAGATCTGTAGTTTTTTTAAGTGAACAGCTGGAAAATTCTGATTTTTACTCAGCAGCACAATCCCGCTGAAGTTAGTCCCGCTGAGTTCAATGAAGCTTACTTTCATGTAAACGGATATAGGATTGCAGCATGAGTCAATGTTTCCCAAAAGGCAGAACAGTAAAGTGTAACATTATCATTGATCAGTATTCTGACGTAAGCAGCAGCCTGTTTTGTTTTGCCAATGACACATTTGCATTTCTTTTCCACAGTGGCCCTTGGCCAAATCGGGAATTTCTTAGCCTACACTGCAGTTCCTACTGTTCTGGTGACTCCTCTTGGAGCGCTTGGGGTTCCATTTGGGTAAGGATTTTGTTTATTTTGAATTTTATGCAGATATAAATGCCTGTATATAGAGTTCATATCTGAATACCAGCAAGAAATGACAATGAATCGGGTATTGGCAGCAGTTCAGTACGGTGCGCCATGTCTATCCTACTAATTCAGGCTTTGCCAACCTCCAGATATTTTGAATAACAACTCTACTCAGCTGTAAAAAACACCAGAAAGAAACCAGAAGTCCTGTTGTGCAAGCAGAATTCCATTGCTCAAGCAGGCACAGGTCAAGTGGGTAAAGAAAGAAGCTTGTTGGTCTTCAGTCCTGTTTTAACTCTCCAGACTTACCCAAAGAAAATGAAGCACATGGGGCACAATCTTGCCAAACATAATCACTTTTTAAAATGGCATTGATTTCAATAAGTGAGAGTTTAGGACATACTCTCATCTCATCCTTTGAAAGTAAAAAGGTAAAGGACCCCTGACCATTAGGTCCAGTTGTGACCGACTCTGGGGTTGCGGCGCTCATCTCGCTTTATTGGCCAAGGGAGCAGCGCACGGAAACGCCATTTACCTTCCCGCCAGAGCGGTACCTATTTATCTACTTGCACTTTGACGTGCTTTGGAACTGCTAGGTTGGCAGGAGCAGGGACCGAGCAACGGGAGCTCACCCCGTCACGGGGATTCGAACCGCCGACCTTCTGATCGGCAAGTCCTAGGCTCTGTGGTTTAACCCACACCACCCACGAGACTCAAATGTGCTGCTTTTAATCTGGATCACGTGTTCTATCCATCCTCAAAGATCCAACATAGAATGACTAGACACAGGGCTTTTTTTCAGCCAGACCTCAGTTCCAGCACCTCTCAGGTGGGTGTCCTTGCTATTCTAAGAGGGAGGTGAGCTCCAGGACCAATTTTCCAGAAAAATAGCACTGACTAGAACTCACATGATAAGCTTCTCCTTTCTCTTCTCTCCCCCCACAGTCTCCATGCACATCAAAAATCTGCTCAAGGGTTGAGGGACTGTCCAGAGCAGATTTTGAGGAAGAGCAGATTTTGAAGAGACACAGTGAAATGGAGAAGGGAAAAGAGAAATGAGAAGTTACATTGCCCAAACAGATTGACAGGGCTGCTCTCTTATGTCCTTGCCTGATCACTATTTGGGGGAGTCCTTGTTAGTGACCCCGTATGGCTCAGATGCATAGCTCACATCCACCAGGAGCTGTGGTTAGTATTGTGTGCCAATTTTTAAGGAACTCCCTTTCAGCTGAGATCAAAAGATCCCCCTACATGTCGAATATCTGATGCCTACTAAGGACATTTTTATTCCATTTTAACTGAATTCTGATTTTATGGTTTTGACTAATTTTTTAGTTTTACTCTATTGAGTTTCTGTACTCCACTTAGAGCTGATTGTAATTAAATGGTATATAAATTGTCAACATGAATAATTGAGTGCTGCCAAATATTTTTAGTGGGTTTGGCAAAAGGTGATATCGGTTGATTCAATATACGTTATTTGGGTTATTCATCTGCTTGAGAGTCTCTTATTGTTCTCCTTTTTTAAAAATAAATAATGGTTTACCCTCTGGAACTGACTGAAGGAAATATACAAACCCTACATGCATATTCCAGGGAAGACTCCATAAAATTATGTTTTGTGGTCATCCAAAAGTTTGACAGGGAAGTGTCTTCTTCCCATTTTGTCCTCCCACCTGCCAGACCAAGGTCAAATGTTAAAACTGATCCCTTATCTCCACATTCAGAGACAGATAAACCACTTTGAACAAGCAAATCCTTCTGGCCTTGCCAAAAAAGGTGGAGGATAAAGGGCAATGACTTACCTTAGAATTAAATTAACAGTATTGAAAGTTTGAATAAAATGTTCTCTTTCTTTGGTTCTCTTCTTTGAAAGATCCATTTTAGCTTCCTACTTACTGAAAGAAAAACTCAACATTCTTGGCAAGCTGGGTTGTCTGCTGAGCTGTGCAGGTTCTGTTGTTCTCATAATCCATTCTCCGAAGTCTGAAAGTGTCACCACACAGGCCGAGCTTGAAGAGAAGCTCACAAATCCAGGTATTTAATTCCTTGGGATAATCACATTGCCAACTCAGTCTTGAGTCTCAATAACTGTGTCAGTTTCACAGAACAAAAAAACACAGTGTAAGGTGGTCCAACATCAGGTATCGCCTCATTTGCACTTGTTGCCAAGCAGTTTTGCATTGTGAAAAAGATGTTGTATTTTAATGTAATGTAATGTAATGTAATGACTGCAGTCGAATTGCTCCACAATCCTAAACATGTTTACTCAGAAGCAAGTTGCATTGAATTCAGCTAGTTGTTTCTTGTTTCTTGGTAAGAGAACATTTGTGGCTGTGACTGCAGGAAAACACTGGAAGCATAATAAGACAAGCCAATTTGCTTTTTTTTTTTATAGGAACTGTTTATCTGCTTAAGTTCTTGGTATGCTTCAGTGCATTATTAAAGGAGAAATTAGCTGCAGCCCTGCAGAATTGAAGTCAGTGGAATTTAACCAACCTAATTACACAAGACTGTAGCAGCTATCAATGTATTAGTTTTTTAAAAAAACAAAGCAGTGGTTTTTTTATTAGAAGGCTGTGCATTAAAGTAATAGGCAATTATTTTAGGTAGAAGTACCTAGGGATATAGGGACGTGGGTGGCACTGTGGGTAAAAGCCTCAGCGCCTAGGGCTTGCCGATCGAAAGGTCGGCGGTTCGAATCCCCGCGGCGGGGTGCGCTCCTGTTGCTCGGTCCCAGCACCTGCCAACCTAGCAGTTCGAAAGCACCTCCAGGTGCAAGTAGATAAATAGGGACCGCTTACTAGCGGGAAGGTAAACGGCGTTTCCGTGTGCGGCTCTGGCTCGCCAGAGCAGCGATGTCACGCTGGCCACGTGACCCGGAAGTGTCCCCGGACAGCACTGGCCCCCGGCCTCTAGAGTGAGATGGGCGCACAACCCTAGAGTCTGTCAAGACTGGCCCGTACGGGCAGGGGTACCTTTACCTTTACCTTACCTAGGGATATATTCCTTTTGGGAAATTTGATCTGTTTTATATACTCTTAATACAAGCTTTTAACCCAAGAAATAGGTGACAGAACAGAAGAAAACATACACTATATTCTATATTCCTTCAAAGCCGATTCCAGTTTTCTGTTCTGACTACAAGTATATGGCATAGGCATGTTGTAAACATGAAAAAATGTCCTTTGTAAAATTGCCTTTATTTAGAAATTTACCATGCTGCCATTCTGTCTTTTTGTTTTTCAGTGTTCGTGGGTTACCTCTGCATTGTCCTTCTCATGCTCCTCCTGCTTATCTTTTGGATTGCACCTGCTCACGGACCCACCAATATTATGGTTTACATCAGCATTTGCTCATTGCTAGGAAGCTTCACCGTGCCCAGTACAAAAGGCATTGGACTAGCTGCTCAAGATATCTTTCACAATAACCCATCGAGCCAAAGAGCATTGTACCTCTGTTTGGTCCTGCTGGCAGTATTAGGATGTAGCATCATAATTCAGTTCAGGTACATCAATAAGGCTCTGGAATGTTTCGACTCCTCGGTGTTTGGTGCCATCTACTATGTAGTGTTCACCACTCTGGTCTTGCTGGCCTCAGCCATCCTTTTCAGAGAGTGGAGTAATGTTGGAGTAGTGGATTTCTTGGGGATGGCTTGTGGATTCACCACTGTATCTATTGGAATTGTTCTCATACAAGTCTTCAAGGAGTTCAATTTCAGTATTGGGGATTTAAATAAGCCCAATACGAAGACTGATTAATACCATGATATCAAAAGGGACTGGATGACCCAGAAAATAATAAAAGCCTTTCCACTTCTAGGCTATGGGAATGACAGAGACTTTGATTTCTAAGCCCAGAGAACAACAGAGCCTTTCATTCCTTGTTGGAATATGTGAAATGAATTGGTGTTCTCAATCCAGTTTCTCTAGAACTAACTGTTACCATGCTTCAACTATCTAAATGGTATTAAAATGGAATACTCTTATACCCCTCACAGCAGGCGGGTAAGAACTGCATCAGTGCAAAAGCTGATGTATTTCTTCACCCTAGAAAGGTGATGTATACAATGAAGGTGGAAGTGTTCTGGAAGTTTTCAAAATGTCTTCCTGAAACATGGTTGTGAATGTATTAAATCCAGCTTCTGCGCTCCATTGGGCAGATGTAATGAATAATAAGCTGTCCCTTTGAAAAATGTAGATACACTTCAGAAATTTAGATTGGATTCCCCCCCCCCCAACATCTCTTTCGTTAGGTCACAAAATTCATTTTTCCTCACAGCTTTATTTGAGGGTTCTTTAAATCCATGTTTCAGAATCTGTACACTGGTAAATTTCCTTCCTTCACTGACTTTCTCTGTAATCTGGAACGGCGCTGAAGAGCTCATAATTAAGTCCAAGATACAGAGCAGTGTATTTGTCTCTCAAAATATTTTCTTACCAGGACATAGTTGCTCACACTTAAGTAAATACAGCAGTCAGTTTACAGATACGCCTTTTTGTTCACAGTAAGCATTTGAAGTGCATTAACACATTACATGAATTCAGGAGCTTTTAATAATCAACAGACAAGAATGTGAGGATCATGGCAGATTGTAACCACTTTTCTACTTTTTTTTTGGTTGGTCATTTGTAAATAGTTGGAAAGTACTTCAGTGCCTTTTGCATTCTAAAAAAAGACCACATAATTTGAATGAAGGTGTGTCTTGAAAAACTCCATGGGGCAGTTCAGTTTCCCCTATCATTTGGCAGTCTTCGTTGCTTACAAACATGCAAAGTGGTCAGAAACAGCAGCACAATTTCATATATACTAGTCTGAATTTATAACTGAGGTGACTTTGTGGTAACTTCCATGCACCTCCTGTTGTGTGTGAGTTCTGAAGAGAGGTGTTCTAAAACTGCCCATTCTCAGCCTTCTAGTTTTTTTTCTAACCAAGTAAACTACTTCATAACACAGGTTATGAAGTCAGGTTTTGAACTGGCACTTTTCAGGGCAAAAGGAAGGTTGTGGTTAAGTGATTCTGTAAGAGGAAAGAAAAATGTTCAATTCCAGTCATGGAAAGGTTAGGCCATTAGCCTAAGTAACTCTTCAGTCGTCCACAAGGCAGAGCCTGGATATTGCTGGAAAACAGTTCAGATTTGCTTGAGACACACAACTCTCTCATTTTAGCAAAACGACCAGCTAATTTGGTATACCTGATTCAGATATTAAGAATTTACTTTGCTATATGCACCTTTAGATTTCATTTTAACAGCTTCAGGGTATCTGAATATATATTAGTAATTAATTTTAACACATTTGACATCGGCCATAGAAATATTTTTTTCCTATCAGTTCCAAAGATACATAACAAAGGTATTGGAGTATTGATCCAAATATGCACACCTTTTCCTAAGTATGCATTACTTTTAAAATTCCTTGAACTTGGAAGTTCAGTTTTTGTATTCACAAAGCAAATAAGGAATCGATTAATTCAGATTCCAGCTTCAGCTTCATTAAAAGCCACTCCTGTCTTGGCAATAATGTTACTTACCCTGTGGGGTGAAAGTTAAACAACCAAGTTAAACAACTGCAGCATAGAGAGTTGTCGGTTTTCTACATTCACACAAATAATCAGTGCAGTTCTGCAATTCTTGTAAGGTTTGTCTGGAAAATTACAAATGGGATGTCAGTTTCTAAATTGAATTTGATAAAATAAAAAGGGCATTTCTCATGTTGCTTGAGAGTTTATACAAGAGATCTATACTGTTAATGTTTGGATTACCCATGGGTATCTCTTTCACCGTATCTGCACATGTTGGAGTAGATAAATATAAGCCACTTTAAATGTTTGGATTACCCATGGGTATCTCTTTCACCGTATCTGCACATGTTGGAGTAGATAAATATAAGCCACTTTAAATGTGATGGTGGTCACCAGTCGTGACTTGTGAAAAGACCCTTAATCAGGGGTCCACAAATGTTGTGTTGGCTTGTATGGTGGTAATCACCAAAACCCTTCCCAAAATCTCCTGACATGAACAGAAGGCTTGGGAAAGAAGCAAGGTCTTCTCCTATTTTTGTAGGATATGGAGAAAGTAAGAAACATTGGGATTCTCCCCCAGTGCTTGGAATGGAATCCTGATGTTTCTTACCTGCTTCAGAAGTGCAATTGGGGTCTTATCGGCGCACCATGTGTCCTGCTCACCAGAGGACACTTGTCTGAGAAAGGTGGATTTATGGATGACTGCCCTTAATCAGTATTCATAAAGTTTAGGTATTAGTTTTGTGTGGAAGCTTGCTGTTTGTGATGGTAAGTTTCTGGAGGGAATCATTCCAAGGCACTGTATTTTTTAAACAAGGTGTGCTTCACATTTCAAGTTTTTAAAAGAAAATCGTTGAGATGTGGTAATTCTTTTCTTGTTTTGTTTTTTTAAAGGCATATATCCAGAGATTAAATCACAGTTGTTGTTTTCTAGCCTTTGACTTATGATGACCTCAGTTTAGTTTTCCTTAATGTAGGTAGGCACACGGCTAGGAGTGTTATCTCAGTCTAGAAATTAGAGCAAACGCTCGTGTGCATTATTGTTCTCTATGAAAAAGTGCCTAACCAAGTATGCTGGTACTTATGCACATTTAAAATCCTATACTAAGGTATTCTTGACTGAACGAGGCATTGTCTGTCTAGGCCTGGGATGGCTAAGGGGGGAAGGTTGACACTCTGTCTTCCCGATAATGTTTCAGGGGCAGAAATCTATTTTGCCACCCAAACATACCCTGTCAGGCTGCATAATAAAGATTATGCCATCTGGAAGGAAGCTCGTTACAATTATGGAGAGTGTGTGTTTGTGTGCTCAAGCATAATAAAGACAAATATATGTATGCTTATGTATAACATACATGCTGCAGACAAATCCGAGACAGATGTGGCGTTAAAGTATGGTATTTCTCTCATTCTTGCAACTTTAAAAAAAACATTTTTGCTTTCCTTAAGAGTGTACATATACTTGATTTACCACCCCTTGATTTTAAAAGGGAAGGGCTGACAGATAAAAAAGACCATGGAGCCTGCCAGCTGGCCATCCCTTGTCTGGGCAGTAGAGCATGGCAAGTCCATCTGAGGCCATTTGTGGTGCTGTCACCTTTCTGCAATGCACCCACTCTCTGCTTGTGACACTTTTTGAACTGGCTTATGCAGGTTGATTTCTGATATATGGGTCTCGTTTTTAGGTGCACTGACTAGCAGGAATAGAATAACGTTCTGACATATTTTTAGCGGCCTTGCACATAATTTATATCTTGGCATTTGACATTTTGAATGGCAAATAGATGCATTTATTTTTGTTACTCTGTTCAACTGATAGTTTTCCCTTCCGTTTTTTGTTTGTTTGTTACCCTGTGTAAAGGTCAGTTTTCCTGAACTCCAGGTGTATAATCAACATAAATAGTAATGCTAGTAACAATACTTTCCTTCCATTCCCTGATCTTCCTCTGCTGTTACTACTTTGGTTGTTTGTGTGTTTTAAGTTCCTTACAGTATTGATTGGTGTCCCATACTGGGAAATAAATATGCAGTTATCTCCTCAATTTAAGTCTTCCTCAAACTTTGACATGCACTTTCTAGGTTGTTGCCTAGTTTGTACACATTGATTGTACAGGAACCTAGGCACTTAAAACATTTTCATTAGCTTGGGCTCTAATTATTTTCAGTGGACTATATATTCATGGAAGGGCAGTACGCTATAGTTGAGCATGCTCTAAAGGCATTTCATAGCATATTTATGAAGTATGATAATGATGTACAGAAGACACTTAATTCTTTTGAGAAACATGATGTAGGATTTACATATTTATCCCCTGCTTTATTGACTTGAAGTCTAATAGTAATAAACCTTTCTGATGAAGCCAAAAAACATTTTTGTAATATCCTAAATACAACACAATATTATATGTGTGTTTTTTAAAAGCAAACCAAGGTTGCAACTCACAGCCTGCTTACACAAGAATACTTTTTTTGTAGACTTTGGGCACAATCCACTAACAAATACTTAGAAACTCGATGGAGCAACCCCCGAAATACTTAGAACAAAGGCTGCAATTCTTACTTGGACAAGGGAGCAAGCATCATTAAAGAATGTGGGACTTAGTTCTGAATAAATATGAAGTGCTCTTTAATTGGCTTTTAAGTTTCTGCCTACAGAAATTATTTCTCCTAATAACTGTTTCAAAATGTGTGTGAGTGTGAGATTGTGTGTATCTGAGAGAAAGATTAATATTTATTAATGCAGTGCTTTTTTCTGTGTGTATCCCGGGGTATGCATACCCCTAAACATTTTGTGAATCTAAGTTTGGCCTCATGGGGGGGTAGTATTTTAATATGAGTAGGAAAATGAGAGTACCCCTAAACATTTTTTAAGATAAAAAAGCACTGTATTAATCTATATGAATATGTTCATTTCATTTATGTGAAACTATCTTAGTAATAAACTTGGTTTATGCTGAATGTAGTGATACTGAAAAAAACTAGCTACAAAGTCAAATACACTGAATTTTGAAATGGAAGCTGTGGTTTTTTTAAGATTAAATAAAGCGGGCCTATAAACTGTACTGAAAATTGGACTGTACTTGCATGATGGACCACTCGCACTTTCTAATATAAATGGAGGACTTTAAAGATTTCAGAGCTCTTTGAACACACAGTTGGCATATAGGTTTGCACTTGGGGGGGGGACTTCTTACATAGAGCCACACCAACAGGTGTGGGGTACCTGTATTCCTCCAGATGTTTCTGGACTACAACACACAACAGTACACTAGCTGGGGCTGATGGGACCTGGAGTCCAGCAACATCTGGAAGAGCCACAGGTTCCCCATCCCCTGACCTAGAGGTGAGTCTTCTGTTCTCTCTTGTAGTAGAAGTGGTGTTGGCTGGTTGGCGTCAAATAAAAATGCGGATACAAATAATGGAAAAGGGAGCAAACCTCAAATGCTATGGGCTTGATTGCTTAAATGCTTTTGTGTTGCAATATAGTTACTTCAGGCAGACAAAAGAGGACTATTTTATTAGCTTCCAAAACAATGTGTATATAGATTTGTTAAATGCTCAATAACCTTAGCTTTGCTTTAAAAAAAAAAGTAGTTATAGGCATATTGTATTTGCCTTGTAAATTAGCAAAGGCTATTTATTAAGGATTCTGACAACAGACCTATTTATTAATGTGTACTGTTTTAAAATAAAAAAAATTTCTAGTTCCGTGTTTGCTTTGAGATTTTTCTTTGTAGCTCTGTTATCTTTTGAGGAGAGTATTATAATTCACAGTCTCACTAGCAGGCTTTCTCCTAATCCTCCAGTCAAAATCACTAATTGTTTTTCCTTCACGAAGATAAGAAAATGTTTATATCCTACCTAAGGCACTAACCTACTAGCAGTGGGATGTGACAGACCCTAGTACTTAAGTAATCTTATCATTCACTTTTATGGCTTAATTTAAATTGGGGCTTAGCTCTAAAACCTGTTTTCAGTGTTTGGACTTCGCCTTGGCAAACATTACACCTTCAGTGCATTAAGGCTTCTCCCCCTTTTCTTTCACTGTTCAGAACTGTAGTGCCCCCTCCTGCCAGAAATTAAAAACAAAACAGCGATACAAGGCCAAATGACATGACAAATGCCATATCTGACCCCAAACACATAGCAGTTGCAGTGTAAGTCGCAGGAATGGCGCATATATATATATATATATATATATATATATATATATATATAAATTTCTTTTTGTGGCCCTGTAAGAGACCTGTGGGACGTGGGTGGCGCTGTGGGTAAAAGCCTCAGCGCCTAGGGCTTGCCGATCGAAAGGTCGGCGGTTCGAATCCCCGCGGCGGGTGCCCCGCTGTCGCCAGGCTGAGCGTCGATGCAATTAATAATAGGGCGTTTTAAATGGGTTTCCGTTCATGGTGGAATGTACGTGGCAGTGCCAAGTAGCAGCGCTGCCCCGCTCTGAGTGAATGGGCCACACCTCTGTCAAGCTGGCTGAACCTTTACCTTTACTAAGAGAGGATTAATAATATGGGCGTTTAAATGGGGCATGGTGGAATGGTTGCAATGCCATAGCAGAAAAACTCTGAATGCATGTCTGAACATTTGCAGATATGAACTGGGCTTGTTAATGAGATTCTGCCCGTTTTTAGAACCAGAACTCACTGTGAAATGGCAACAGCAGTTTTTGAAGCTGGCTGAAAAGTAAGGTAAGGAAGCTACCTCTGAATTATGCAGTGGGAGAGAGCAATTCAGGTTACATGCAGAGGCACCTGGTGTGCGAAAGGTAGGCCGAATTATTCATGATTTAGATGCTGGATGGAGTAAGCAAGCAGTTTGAGAAAGTTATCAGCTCCTAAGCAGCAGATGTAGCAGTGGAGAGAGTGATAAACAAGAGACACAGATAACAATAACTTTTAATTTGAAATAATTAAAATGTACCAACACATTCATTACACTAGTGCATGAATATACAGTGGTACCTCGGGTTACATAAGCTTCAGGTTACAGACTAACCCAGTCTAACCCAGAAATAGTACCTCGGATTAAGAACTTTGCTTCAGGATGAGAACAGATATCATGCTCTGGCAGGGCGGTGGCAGCAGGAGGCCCCATTAGCTAAAATGGTACCTCAGGTTAAGAACGGACCTCTGGAACGAATTAAGTTCTTAACCCGAGGTACCACTGTACCATGGAGATATCCCATTATGCCTATTTAGGTTGTCATAGTGATCTTGAATAAGGGACTTGACAAGTCATCATAAATTTTTTAAGGTAAAAGAAACTTAGGAATTAAGATGTCGCACTATTATGATTTCTGCTTGCCATACAGAACTATCTCCCCTTTATCTTTCCTATGGCCCCCATGCACTGTTCTAGGGGTTCTTCTGACCCCCTAGAACCAATTGGGGACATGAGGAAAAAGAGGCTAAAGCCCATTGCACTACCCAGACTGGTTGTGAATCTGACCTTTAGAGTTTTGTAGTACTGTATGTTTCTTTTCAGATATATTGAACTAAAAGGAAACCCAGGTGGGACTTTCCTTTAAAAGGCAATACTTCAGAAGAGCCCTGGCATTCAGAAGCATTGTTGCCTCTTGTGTGCAGAGGCAGAGCATAGCCACATACCCTCCAACCTTTCTCTGACGTCCCATTCCATAATGATAACTTTACTGTTTATACCCCACACATCTTACTGGCTTGCCCCAGCCACTCTGGGCAGCTTCCAACATATATAAAAACATAATAAAAATATAAAACATTAAAAAAAGCTTCCCTGTACAGGATTGCCATCAGATGGCTTGGGAGTTGAATAACTCAATACCCTCCAACATTTCTCCAATGAAAATAAGGACAACTTAAGGAAAAGTGGGACATTCCAGGATCAAATCAGAAACTGGAATGGCTTTTCTAAATCAGGGACATCCCTGGAAAATTGGTTCACTTGGAGGGTCTGTAGCCATTATGGCTAATAGTCATTGAAAGCTTTGTTGTACATGTATTGGTCGTCTCCTTTTTTAAAAGCCATATGAGATGGTGGCCATCACTGCGTCTAGCGAGACCAAATTCCATAGCTTATGTTGCATTCTTAAATCTGCAGTTTCCTCTCAATGCTGCCCCTATTATTTTGCTTCTTAAAGCAAACATCTTTGTTAGGAACAGTGAATTCATAACCGGGCAGAACAAGCCGGTTCAGCAGCAGCTCCTAGCCAGGGAAGGACAGAGGCTGAGGGTCTACTGTTAACATTGTAGCCTAGAAGTAGCCAGACTAATTGCTCACCTATAGCTACATCGTTGGGACTCCCCTCCTATTTCAATGTTTTTAAAATTATATATTCAATTGAATCTCTTGCTTACTCTCCTTTTATAGAGTTGGGGCCCATTTTATTAAGTTTGTCTCATTTCTCCCCGTGTGCCATTTTGGGGCCCTGGCATCCTACCATAGTTTTGAACCCTTAGGCCCCACAGGTCTTCCCACAAGCAATTGTTGAGGGGCAACCGGGCTTACATACACGTGCCCATGTTGTTCTCTTCTAGTTTTCCTTTTCACCCAAGATAGGATCTACAGTTTACATCCACTGACTAAACCTCTTTAATGAGGTCTGAAACCCTCCAGGGCAACTTTTTCCACTATCTTACAGTTGTATCAGGTGCTTAAACTGCTGGCTCATATTTCTCAAATGAACTTTGCCCTTAAGCAATTAGATGCTGGCCAGACAAAAAGCAGTAGCCCCAGGAGACAGAATAAACAACTCACAGTGAGAAGGGCAAATAGCAAGTGTAGCTCTTCCCTGTTTTATGGGTCCATGATAATCATAGAATTATAGGGTTGGAAGGAGACTCCAGGATCATCTAGTAGTCCAACCCGTTTCGGTATGTTTTCTGTAGATGGGAATTCCACTGGAAACACGCACACATGAGCCATCAGGTATTTAGCGGGTGGCGCTGACCCTAATGGTCAGAGGTCCCTTTACCTTTACCTAGCGGCCAAGGGCCCACCTGTACATGAAATCAAGGACAAAGCGACTGCAAAGCCGCCCATTTGCTACACGGGCCGATACGCACTCAGTCGAGAGCGGCAGCCGGGTACCCTATATCAAGTACAGCCAGTGGCGTGTAAGTGGTCAGACTGGGAGATCAAGGTTCTAATCCCCACTCCACCAAGAAGCACACCTGGGTTTGACCTTGGGCCAGTCACTGCTGCTCAGCCGGCCTCACAGAGTTGCTGTGAGGATAATACGGGAGGAGTGGGCCGGGGAAAACTGTGCACGCCACCTTAAAGCTAAATAATGCAATATAAACAAATGCAACAGAAATGTAATAAACAAACAAGGCCCCTGCTCCAAAATTCGCGCGCACTTGGCACGACTCCTGAGCAGATTTGCACTGCAAGCTTGGGTGTCTCCCTTACCCCACTTCCCACACACTCCTCCCCGCAAGGAGGAACGGGGAAACTCTCACGTGACATCCCTCCCCACCCCAAAAACATATCCCCTCGGTGAGGCAGCTTCCGCCCGGCTCGTGGCTCCTCCCTTTCCGCCTGGCGTGCCAAGGGAGGGGAGCGAGGGCGCCGGCGGAGTTTCTCGCGTGGGTTTGCGCGGAGGGCGGGCGACGGCGCGGAGCAGCCCAGCACCTGAGCGGGGCTTTCCCCATGGCGACGGCGCGCGCTTGGCAAGGGCGCTTGGCTTCCCCTCGGCCTCCTCCTCCGACGCCTCTTCCTCCTCCGCTGCCGCTGCTGCTTCTCCTCCTCTCCGACGCCGCTGCGCCGGCCGCGGCCCCTCTCCGGGCGGGCGGGATATGAGGAAGAAAGAGGCGCCGCCGTTGCAGGTAACCGGGCTTTGGGCCTCCGGCTTCTCTCCGTCTCCCCGCAGAGAAGCGGAGCCGGACCCCGCGCGACTCCGGCCGGCCTCCTGCCCCTCGCCAAGCGGCGCTTTGCTTTAGTTGCCCGGCGTCGTGCGGAGCGTGCAAAGCGGAGGGGATGGTCGTTGCAAGAAGATTTGTGTGGCGCTTGCACCGAGCCAGCGATTGCACGACACTCTCGCACACACTCTCTCTCTCCTTGCCACAATATTGTTGTGACCGTTGCATGGTGCGCACTTCCCCGGGAGTTGTTGCGCTTCGGTGGGATGTGATGTCAACTTAACTTTTACGCAGAGAGCAGGCCTGCTGGAATGAATGGAGCCGGGCTAGGCATGGCCACTCATGTCAACGGGTTTACTCTTGAGTAAAAATAAAAGTGAGTGGCGCGTCACGCCAGGGGAGCGACTTCCACTTAAATACGCATTTCGCGAGAGCAGGCTGACGCGGTTGCGATTTGGAGATTTAGCAATCTGATTTATTTCTTTTTAAGAGCACGGCTGAGGAAGGATGGCGTGGGCGAAGGAGCTCCAGGAACTATAGCCATCCTTTCTTGGAAGCCTGTGGCTTCATATCTCTCTTACCTCATTTCATTACGATCATTAAAGGCATGTTGGTTAATTTCTAGGTTGCTTCCTGGTCTGCTGTTGTGGTGCTTAAGGCGTGAGCCACGGGATGGATTTCTTCTCATAGTTTGAGTGATTATATGTCGATACTGTGGGTCTAATATCCTTTTAGGGCATTAGTCTTCAGCCTTTTTAGCCCCAAGACCCACCTTTAGTTCAAACAGACTTGGAGACTTGCCTCTATTTATTTTCCCAATGTGGTGGCGGCATTGTAACCTGCTTTTGGGTGTATGGTGAC